AACTTTTTTTGATGCACAGTAGCCGGCAGGTAGCTTACCGGAACGATGCCCACCCGTTACCGGTAGCTAAGCTGACTTGCACCTGTTGCATTTTATTCCCTTTTTTCTTTTGGCTATTGCGGCACAGTAGCTGAGGTGTTTGGCACTTCTAGATAACCTGTATGATGTGGTATATATATATATATACACATATATGTATATATATATATATATATACTTCCCGTATTTGTTTCCGTCTTGCGTTTTTTATCTTTATCCTCCCGCTGTAGCTTCACTTTTACCTCCTTGTTTTCAAACCCCTTCTCGGTCCTCCCTCCTTTTACCTCAGTAGTCGCTTATCTTTTAGTTTCAAATCACTGCGATCGCAGGGCGTCGCTCTAGTTCACTCGGCAATTTCATGTTCAACCAAGCTGACAACGTCAGTTCATCCGTTTCTCTTTGGCGTCCTCGATCCTAGGTAAAGGTGGCATGCTTCAACGTGCACAATTTGCTACAGCTTGTACAACCGGCAGCACTTGCCCGAACACTAGAGACCCTATCGATCGATACTTGCTGTTTGTCAGAAACCCGCTTGCAAGATTCGAGCTCCGTGCTTATCCTGAGATCCCCCACACGCGACGCCTGTCTCGAGATGACGCAGCTTCAAACATTGGCCAAGCCTGTAGTCATTGTTCTGAGTCACCGCGCTGAAGCTGCCCTGATCGATTGGGTCCCAGTCAGCAGCCGGATGTGCGCCATTAGATTGACTGACATGTTCAGATCTACGAAGACGCGCGGGGACACACGGTGCCTGTTTGTTATTGCCGCCTACGCCCCCACAAACCGTAGCACGGATTCGGTGAAAGATGATGGTTATCACCAACTTAACGATCACATTCGTCTCAGAAAGAGTACGGATACTGTGGTGCTTGCTGGTGATCTGAACGCCCAAGCCAAAAAGTTGTCCTCTGATGAGCTTCGTCTGGACGGCCAACATGGTGTAGGCTTCCGTAATGATAACGGTGGGCGGTTGCTACACCTTTATGAAAGGATTCGTCTCTTCTCGCGAACGCTAACTTTCGATATACTACCCTTAGATGAGTGATTTGGCGCCCACCAGTCTCGGACCAGCCATGGACGCAAATCGATCGCATCGCGATTGATTACCACTGGAGAGGCTGTGTCCAAAACTGTCGCTCGATTTGGAGCACCAGCGTAAACTCCGATTACCCTCTTGTGTGTGCCGATCTTCGGGTGCATTTCGTCGGACGTCCGCAACGTCGCTCTAAGCGCATTGACCCCAGCCAGCTGGCGAAGCCACGTGTGCTCAATGCGTATCAAAGTGCGTTGACATCCGAGCTGAGTAAGCGCCCCCTGAACACCGTCGCAGAGCGATGGTCGCATTTTCGTCGAACGTTACTATCGGTAGGTATGCCTTCATGTGGCAAATCAAATTGCCAACCTAGACATTGGGTCTCTACAAAGTCTCTTTTAACTTGTGTATGCTCGCCGGCGTATTCCGGCTGGAAGCGAATACAATGAGGCTCGCAAAAATCTCGGGACAAAATTGCGTGCTAGCCTGAAGAGAGACCACGAAGCCTGGTGGTCTCATCATGCACCGGAAATGGAAACAGCCGCTGCCGTTGGTAATCATCGTAAGTTATGACGTCTGATAAGAGGAACAGACAGTAGCAGACCTGGTGTTAGCGGGAACATACGCGACAAGAGTGGACAGCCGATCTACAGCCTCAGAACGCTTGGTGCGTTGAGCCGAACACTTTGCAAGGCAGTTTAACCAATCTGAGTTAGCGCTTTCTTTTTCGGGCATTAAGTACTCTTCTCCATGGGCCATCTCCTTAGATCCGCCCTCACGCACAGAAGTTGAACGTGATATCAGAATGTTGAAATCGCAAAAGGCCGCAGGGGCAGATAAGATTCCCCCAGCCCTCTTCGAATTCGGGGGCTTGCTCTAGTAGATGATTTACACCAGTTGCTGGTGGAACTTTGGGAGCAGGAAACTGTCCCGACAGACTGGAGCAGCTCCGTCATAGTCCCAATTTTCAAAGGAGGCTCCCGTTCGGAATGCGGCAATCATAGAGGGATCAGTCTGATCTCAACTGCCTCTAGCTTGTTGCGCCTGTTATTCTCCACAAACGGACTGGCACTCGTGAAGGCCAGATCCGCAAAGAGCAAACCGGGTTTCGTCGAGGTCGGGGCTGCATCGACCACATCTTCACTTTGCGTCAATTGTTGGAGCACCGCCATGTTTATTGGCGACCCACCGTTGTCGTGTTTCTCGACATCAAAAGTGCCTTCCATTCGGTTGATCGATGTGCCCTTTGGAACTGTCCGCTGAGAAAAGGTGTGCTCAATAAATGCGTAAACATTATCCGAGTGCTATACGCGCATGGTTGGGGCAGGGTGAGGGTTTATGGCAAAATGCCGCCGCCCATTAGTATCTCCTGCGATGTGAGACAAGGATGCACGATGTCATTTTGTGTCATTAACTTCGCTATTGATGAAGTAATGGCAACAGCATTCGCCTTACACGAGCTAGGTGTGGAGCTACTTCCTGGTGAGCGACGTCATGACTTGGACTATGCGGACGATATTGCCCTCATCTGTGACAGCTCCCTAACGTGCCAAGCAACACTGGACAGATTAGCACTGGCTGTCAGTCGTTTCGGTCTGCGCTTTGCACTGTCAGTATTCGTACTCCTTTTTCCTTGGTTAGAAGGGACCGATCTCTGCACTGATCAGCTAGAAGTCGTTCTGGAATTCAAGTACCTGGGCAGCTATATTAGCGTTCGTGGGACTGTAGATGACATCACAAACCATATAACGAAGGCTCGAGGTCCTCTAGCCAATCTTGGCCATTTGTGGTGCAGACCCGATATTAGACTCGCCCTGAAGGGTAGAGTGTACAATGCAGGCGTTCGTCCGACTCTCTTATACGGTTCTGAAACCAGGCCCATCAAGTCGTTTGCTCAAATGTGATGGAAACACGGCATGAACAACGAGCGTGTTCGACGCCTTGTTTACGGCGCTGGGAAAGGAAATGAAATGCTTAACACCGTTATTTCACGCAGCAGGCTCCGATTGCTCTGCCATATGTTACGTATGCCACTTTACTGGTGCCCGCGACGTGCGTTGTTTGCGCGCCGGGGATGTGGATGGAAGAAGAGGAGACGTGGCCAAGCGATGACTTGGTCAAGAAGAATGATGGCCCTCACTACGAGGCTGGCCTCGATTGGAGCGTCTCGGCTCTCTGGTCGGGGTCCGAAAGACGAACACGTTTGGCTGGATACACTTGTTGACATGGCTTGATCCAAAAGTACGCTACTTTTCTTTTGGTTGTCAGTTGAACTGAACTTTCAATGAACACTGCGATGCACCACTTGCTTTGAAAGCTACTAAAAAGTTCATCCAGTGGCATTTCCATACCATTCTTTGTGGTTAAGAATTCTATCTGTTAACTAACCAATCATTCCTCATTAACTATCACGATGGGCCTGATTCAGTGTGGCGGTTTGCGTTCCCCCTAGATTCCTTGGGCCGCATTCTCTATGCCTTCAGAGGTTTTCCTACCACGAATCAAATGTTAAATGTCAGTGGAACTCAGCCCTATTATCTTTTTATCGTATGTTGGAGGAGCTGTCGATGACCTAGGCCCCGCAATTCAACTACCTTGAAAGCTGTATCAGTGCTTGTGGGATGAGATGATGATGAAGATGAGATCACGAACCGTAAAGCGAAGCCAAGGTGCTTTTGCCATTCTTCGCCACTTGTGGTGCAAGCGCGACATTACTCTCGCTCTGAATAGTAGTGTTCACACTACAGTCCTTTGTTTAACCCTATTTCACGCTTGTAAAACCTGGCAAATCAAGTCGACAGACCTAAAGGGGGTTGTTACCCTCGATAATCGTTGCCTACGTTGGAAACACCTTATGAGCTATAAGCACGTTCGGCATCTTGCCTATGGCGCAGGAAGAGCCAGTGAGCCGCTCAGCACCGTTATTTCACTCACCGGATTCCGATGGCTGGGCCACATGTTGCACATTCCAACACGCCGACTCTCGCGACATGTATTAAGTGCGCCGATTGTGTGGATGAAATAAGAGTAATGGAGGCCAACCGATGAAGTGATCAAGCGGAATGAAGGCTCCGCTTCAAACTTAGCCTTGGATGGAGCCTATCCGCTTTTGTACGATGGACAGATTTAGTTGGCTACATTTGTTGACATGACGGCAAGCTGACCTCAGTGGCGTTTGTGTTGTGCGTTCATTCGTCTTCCTCTTGTTCATCTTTTCCCTTTAACGGCCTCAATATCGCTGCATAATAATGATCCCATAACACCTGTTTCCTATTTGCACTTTGTGTTATTCTTCTGGGTGCCTTGTTTCATTGTTTTGGGGCACAACTCAGGTATTTCTCATCCGGCTTACGTGTATGATGAATGAATGAGACCCTTAGTTTAACGAATGGTTTACCTATACCGATAACTTCGGTTACGAGGTTACCGGCAGTCTCTTGCTCGATAGATGAGGAACCGAAAGATTGCGAGAGGAGATAACAACACGAAAATGTTTTGGCGACAAGTTCAAATAGGCAGAGGATACCCTCTGGTTGCCCTGCTTCTGTCCTTTGACTCAACACTACGACCTACAATGCAGTGAAGTGCAGAGCACAAGCGGAGACGCGGCCTGACCCTCCCTTGTTTTCTATTTTATTCTGACTTGTCAGTATTCCGTCGACTAACAATTAACGCTCAATTACAAGCACTTCGTATTATGCCCCGGTTCTCACCACTCTTTATTCACTATTTCACCATACGAAATTGCTACCTACGCGTGGCCCACTGTCTGCAGTGCTGTGGTTTTATCGCATAATTCTCACATTTTCTCAAGGCCTGCGGCGGATAAGCATCATCACGTCAACTTTTCCTATTTACTGATCTTGAATCGTCAAACTCTTGACGCACAGTTGTCCTGCGCATCTCACCAGGCACATTCTACTTTTCAGACGCCTGTATACTTGAGTCGGTTCACCGACTCTCTATTTCCACCCTTCTTCCAGTAAACATTGTGATGCGAGTTCGGTCTGCGCTGTTCATTTCTGTTTAACGGCCACTTCGTTGACGAGTTACGTTCCGTTCTTCCACTGTTGTTCTGGCATAATCACATCTGTCAAACTGGACTATCTCCTGTACCGTACGATGATGGTTGTATTTTGAGTTGATTTTGGGATAGCATCAGCAAACCGACATGCGTTTTATCTCCCATATGCCCCTCGACCGACTTCGTCGGTGTGCATTATACGCTGAGGCTTCACCAACTTTGGTGTAACTGCGACGTGGCCAGTCCACAACGTTGCATTAGGGCATGAAAAATTGACTAAAAGACTTGGTCATGCCAGTGCATACTGTTTTCGTGGACGAGAGTCTCGGGATGGTCCACGTCAGTTGTTAGAAACTCCATCGAACATAGCATAATCAGCGTCGTTGCTGCATTCGGTTTCTTGCCTCTAGATGTTAATTTTCATTCCATCTGAATTAGTTTAACACACTTCCTTCCTGTTCTGCTTTCTACGTTTTATTTACATTCAACCTCATTTTCTTGTCGTTTTATTTGTTATCCTGGCGACGTGAGTCGTAGCAACTGGATCCACCACACTTCATGGCCCGAATCATAATTGTTCAACTGAACAGCCCGCCCGTATCCTTAGGGATCACAAGTCTGCCTTGTAATCCGAGAGTGCGGGTTCGAGCCTGCTTTGGGGACCGGGCGACCCTCGCAATATCCTTAGCCCACGTGCGACTGGTGGTGATTGCGCGGCAGCGAAGATTTGGCACTGCGTACCGGCGTACTTCCGATGCATTTTGTCTGTTCAACTGAACTGAAAGAGCCTCCTCCGAAAGCACCACGGGACGGAGATTCATGCCTATGTTATGTGCATTTCTTCATGCGATCTTTCAGCTAATCAAAATTGACAAACCTAGCTCTTTATATCCCCAAATTGTCTTAATCATCGTGGTAAAATATCTCCATATTTCTCGTGGACACACAGGCTGCCATCCTCATATATTTATCAAGTTCGTGGATGAATCAGGGATATTTCATGGATAGTAGTTTTCATCCTTAAAATTGCCCTTATCTATGATTGCTAATCTACTTTGCCGAATAACCTACTCGTGATGCCGGTTGGGTGATTTGGGATTACCTCGTTCCAGCAAATGATTCGGCGACTGTGTTTCAGCACTTGGTGGGTTTTCACCTGGCGAGCGTTCTCCCTGTAAAAAGCCACAAATGTCCGTTTAAAAATACTGTGACATGGCAGATGAGCCTCGACACTAAACATAGGCCCTGCTCCTTTGCCTCTCTCAGACTGGCTTTGCAATTCAAGGGTGTGTTGGGCCCCTGGTCTTTGGAGGACCTAAATACGCATGAACCACTTGTTTGGTCACCGACTCCCAATGGGTTGCAACGCCCTCATATCGCCTAACTGCCTTGTAAGGTTAGATCCCTAATCAAAACCTCGGGGTATGGCCCCCTAAGTCAACTACTTCTGCCTGATCAACCGGCTAGTACCACGCCCACAGACGAATCATGGATGGATTCTTCTGCTATTACTTTCGCTCTTGCTACGTCTACCGGCTCTGCTGTTTCCATTGCTCAATCTCCACTCACAGATCGTCCCACGTCCAGTTCTTCAACTGCACTTATGCCCTCCCCATTCACCGCCAACTTCAGCTCACCGTTTGCGCCTGATGGAAGTAAGAGTCAAACTCTTGGTGTTCGATGCCCGGCGATTACAGCCTTCTCACACCACCGAGACTCTAGCTTTTCCTTGCCTGGTTCTCCATTCAGCCTCACAGTATTCATTGTACACACTCTGCTGCAGATCTGACGGCAAACTTGCCTGCCCCGCATCCTTGAGACGCTCTCGGTAGACATTTGCTGCCTTTTGGTAATCAGATTGTAAGACTCCATTACCGTCATCAGAAGCATCCCTTCGAAAAATCCTGACGCTAAATACCCTTTGCGCCTTTCCGGGGACCCAAAGACTGCCGCTTCTCGCCAGGCTGGTGGTGCACTGAGTGACCGGGTTGAGACGTACTTGATTGGATCTCACCATCATCGTCATCATTATACACGTCAGCTGGAGGTGGGAAACACCTCAGCTACTGTGCCGCAATACATAAAAAAGGAGGATAAATAAAACAGTTGCGCACCAGCTGAGCTACCAGCAACGGATAGGCATCGTTCCGGTAAGCTACCAGCCGGCTACTAGGCAAAAAGAAAAATTATTATGTTTTACGCAACGAAATGAGATCGTAGGTGGAGGGGAAGGCTGAAAGGGATGGGGAGGAACAAAGAAACTCACAGCAGGAACGCCAGTGAGGTCCGCTCCTTGCCATGTCTGCAAGTGTATCCAGCCAAACGTCTTTTGGATCCCCACCAGGGAGCCGTGACGCTCCAACCGAGGCCAGCTCCGAAGTGAGGGCCTTCATTCCTCTTGACCAAGTCATCGCTTGGCCACCCCTCTTCTTCCATCCACATCCCCAGCGAGCAAACAACGCACGTCGTGGAAGTCGGTGAGCTGGCATGCGTAACACGTAGCCAAGCCATCGGAGCCTGGTGCGTGAAATGACGGGGCTGAGCGGTTCAGTTCTTTTTCCTGTGCCGTAAACAAGACGTCGAACGCGCTCGTTGCTTACGCGGTGTTCCCACCAGACGTGAGCCAAACTGCGAAGGCACCGATGGTCGAACGTAACTAGCCTCTTCATGTCCGCCAATCTTAGGGGCCAGGTTTCACAACCGTAGAGTATTGTACACTCTACCCTTCAGGGCGAGGCTGATGTCGCGCCGCCGCTAACCTTTGCCACCTATGGCGAAGGTTACTTGGCGCCCACCCTCTTCAACGCAAGAGTGGTCCCAGCTTGACCACATAGCAATGAGCTATTGATGGTGCGGAAGCGTAACATCCTGGTCAACTTGTCTGGACTCCGATCACGCAGTAGTTCGCGCCAACATTTGCATGCGTTTCGGAGGATCATCCAGACGTACGCATTACCGACCGAGCATGGAAAATCTGCAACACCCTGCGACGCTATCCAAGTACGAAGCTTCTGTCGACACTGCTTACCTCAGCTTCTGACGGTGATCTGAATTCACAATGGGTGCGCATCAAAGATGCCTTTGTTACTGCCAGCATTGATAGCTGTGGAGTTACCTGTCACCCGCCGGAAAGCTGGATCATCGCTGTCTCCTTGTCGCTGATTGACAGACGGCGCTCGGTCCCAGCCGACGTCAGCTGTAGTGACGAACGTCGATCCCTGGATCGAGAATTGCGCAGAAGTTTGCATAAGGTCCGTGAAGCCTGGTGGTGTGAACGTGCTAGAGAGGTCGAATTTGCTAGTCTCTATGGTAATACCAGAAAACTCTTCTATCTCATCCGTATCACAGATTCCCTATCTGGTGTAAGCGAAACAAGCTGTGAAGAGGATGGCTCACTGATCACTAATCTTCAACAACAGTTGGAACGATGGACTGAACGTTTTGACTCATAGCTTTGCTTGACGCCAGCCCCATCTGCTTCCACTGGAGCCCGGACTGGTGCCTAGTTGTCTGTCCCCACAGATCATCCCTCACACTAGGAAATCTGACAAGAACTCCGCCTGCTGAGGCGTCATAAACCCCCTGGCTCTGATGGTTTACCTCTTGCACTCTTTAAAGATAGTGGCTATTCGCTGGTTCAAGAATTCACTGCTTTGTTTTCAGAAGTCCGCTCAAGAAGCTAGGATCCATCGTCTTAGAGGCAGCCGATAGTCGTCCCCATTTTCAACAAGGGCTGCGCACAATGCGCTCCAACTACGGAGGTATAAGTTTGGTTATCGTCGTTTGCACTCTTCTGGTCTCCTTCATACTTCTCAGGCTATCCTCAATGCGCAGATCGCTACAGCGGGAAGAACAGGTTGGGTCTCACCTTGGTCGCAGCTACATCGATCAAATTTTCACACTGCCAAATCCTCGAGCTTCGCTATGTGTATCCAAAGCCAACGATTGTCATGTTCCCGGATATCCATGCTGTCTTCGATTCTGTGTACAGGACTGTATTGTGGCTCTGCTTGATGAGGAATGGCGTTCTCGGGAAATTCGTTGCCGTAGTGCGTACTATGTACGATCTGACTTCGGGTAGAGTTAGGGTTTATGGCAAGCTTTTGCCTTCCTTTATTGTCACCAGTAGGGTTCGACAAGGGTGCCCTATCTCCCCATTTCTCTACAATTTTGCCATTGAGAATGTCCTCAGAAATGCTCTAGAAGACTCCTTAAGCGTTGATGTTGCGCTCCTTTCAGGTAGTCGAGTAGCTGACTTGGACTACACTGGTGATATCGTCTTGCTTAGTGACGCTCCACCGGCCGTTGAATTTGCGCTTAACTGCTTGGTGTTCGAAGCGTCGAAATAATTCATGTAATTTTCACCATCCGATCGCAACGCACTTTTTCAAGACTGGCAGATGCCTATACCTCTCACTCTCCTTGGCGAGACACTGGAGATTGTGGAGAGTTTCGACTACGTAGGAATTTGCATTACTGCTAGTGGATCTGTTGGAGAATAGATTTCAATACGTATCTCAAGCGATCGTCTTGCTTTCCCCAGACTGAGACACTTTTGGCATCGTCATGACACGTCTCCATCAAAGGGTGGGTTTATTGTGCGAGTGTCCGTGCTGTACGGTTGGGAGACGTGGCCAGTTCGAACCGTTGGCTATCACCGGCTGTCTGTCTTCGAGCACCGTTGCTTGCGGTCCATTGCCTGTGTGTGGTGGCTGCATCACGTAAACAATGCGCAAGTGAGACCGCGTCTTGAGGGGAGACAGCCACTTGCACGAGGATATTACTTGGCTGCGCCAGTTGCGGTGACTTGGTCACATATTGCGCATGTCCACTCAGCGCCTTGCGCGTTGTACATTTTTTGCACTTGCTGGGCAGGACTGGATGAGGCGGCGCGGTGGACAGCCCATGAATTGGAGAAGTAGCATGTAAAAGCGGAGGAAGCAGTTGTTATCGGTCGGTTGTTCTCGACCCC